TGGTTCTGTTATGTTTCTGTTCACTTTTGAAAAATCAAACTGCTTTCTTTCTGAAACTGTCCCCTACCCTTATACACTATTTTCAAACTTCTACTCTTAGTTATCTAGGGTCCTACCACCCCCAGTGTGAGCACTACCTAGGATCCATGAGACTCCTCCGGACTCTGGCACACTAGGGCTGGCCTTCCAAACTCTTTACAAAACTATTTCTTTGAAAAGGTTCTGGTGTGAGCATTGCTCGGGGTCCCTGAGGCCCTTAGGAACTTTGACACACCAGAAGCCCATTTGTGTGTTATGAACTACCTATGGACATCAGACTTGCTTGAAGGCTTGGCTTCCAGGTTGACATTGGGCCTGCCAAGGCTCCCTATAGTGTAATGATTTTTTTCATTGTGTAATTTATTCATAATGGTCTGTAATAATCCTTGTAAAAATAGATATGGGGTTATTAGTAAAAGCTGGGGAGGGATTTTTATATATCTTTGTTGGGTTCGGGTAGAAATCATGCCTATAGGTTGTTGTGGTGATTCTTTATGCCATTAGAAACCATGCCTATAGGACTTATCTCGTTATTTGTAATCCTGAATTTTCACTTTGCATCCTAGAAATGCTGCTTCTAGTCAATTTTATCAATTCTGCATCAAGAACCATATTTTTCAAACCCCATGTGTGCATTAGAGATTATGTCTCTATGATCTTCTTTATTGAACTCGCTTGGCAACTGGTTAACGCCTTTACCCGCTTAGATATCATGTCTATAGGAAATAAGCGTAAAAATAGTTTTAACACTTAGATATCATGCCTATAGAAAATACATATAAATCAGTCTTGACACTTAGACATCATGCCTACTGGAAGTAAGTGTAAAAAAATCAGTTTCTGTGTTTAGATATCATGTATATAGGAAATAATGCTTATAATCAGTTTCAGAACTTAGAAAGTATGTCTATAGGATCTAAAAAAGATTAAATCTGCCTGTTAAAATCAATCACTGGTTTATAAACTGTGGTCGTTAATTAACAGTTTTAGATACCATTCCTATAGGATTCTGCTCTGGTCCTCACTTAGGCAAGCCTGTAGGGTAAATAAGAATCCTGGGTCTAAAAAAATTGTGATTTCTTGCTGCTTGGAACACGCCCAGATTCAGAATATTAAAAAAGGGGTAGGCAAACTGATAGGCACTGTTGCTCGCTTTAATAAAGCTGTTGTATATTCTGTTCATGCTCATCTAGATATCCTGCCTATAGGATCCTAAACTATAAAACTTTGTTTGTTTGAATTGCGTGCATTGGTTGGCTATTTGTGGAGGTTAACATGAGCCCCTTATTTGCTCCTTACATGATAGTCATATCCGAATTTTGTTTGTCGCTTAGTTTTCTCATTTTTAAAGCAACGTAGGTGAGTCTAGATCTATCCAAAATAGAAGTCCTAAACACCTCCAGGACTATAGGTAAGGGACGGGTAGTGCACACATAAGGTACGCATTAGAAGCTATTAGAACGCTTAGGTAACAACTGAAAGATAGTAACGTGGTAGTAAAGGAGATGATGACCTGTGCGCTAATGCTATGTGTAACACCCCAATTTGGGGAAAGTTACCAAGTATTGCATGGAAATGATCCTATAGGCTGAAATAGTTCAGATATTGTTATTCATGATATTGATTCGATTCAAGATCATCGAGAGGTAATATTCATTCATTGAATTTACAGGCCAAAGATTTATCATCTCTATGGGATTAAATCCCGAGTTATTGCGAAGCAGAAAACCGATGAGATTATGGAAGTAAATATTCTTGTATTTATTGCTACTGCACTATTTATTCTAGTTCCTACCGCTTTTCTACTTATCATTTACGAAAAAACAGTCAGTCAAAACGATTAATTATTAACTAATTTGAATGAAACTTGACTTCTGAGTTCTTAGCCAAAATTGACGAAATAAAATGAAAAAGATTCTAATTTCATGTCTTAAATGAAATGAGTGGACTAGAATCGGCAGTATTCTAATAGATAGATCGTATGGTAGAAAGAAAGATTCATCTATTTCTTTCTACCATATTATTTATTAGTTAGATTGTAAACGTAGGACCCCTTTAATTCTTGTTTTAAAGTAATTTTCTATTTGTTTTAAATTGTTTAACTTTCCTTTAAAGACTAATTCGCTTAATTGAGTTTGGTCGGGACCCACCGTTGTGGACCTCGAGGGGCACCTAACACCTTCCCCTCGAGGTAATTTCGAGCCCTTACCCAATCTCTGGTGATGTAAACTAGTACATGAATTATTTGCTCTAGGTGCCCTAACACACCTTAATGCGTTAGGTGCCGACTCTTCAAATCTCATACCCAATCCCAAAAGGAGTTGTCCGAAAATGTCGAAACCCGGATTCTGCGAGGAAAAAGGGAGCGCGACAACATATACATATATATATATATATATATATATATATATATATATATATATATCGTACCCGGTCGTAATAGGCTCGGTAAAAACGTACCCGACCATCGTAAGGCTTGGTAGAATCGTTCTCGGCAACGTGGAGCTCGGTGAAACCCAACTGATCAGTGGTTACACAATAGGTGCCATACCCGGCCGACTATAGCGCGGCTTGGTAGGGTAAAATATATATATATATATATATATATATATATATATATATATATATATATATATATATATATATATATAATGCATGCTGGACTCAATGGAATCATATTCTGAACTTTTTGGAGTGATGTAAGTGCGGTATCCTTTGTACACGTTATTAGTACTATCTCTTCATCATGAATCTTATAAGAATCAGGAAGTACAAACAACATTGATAACATAATAATAAGAGATGAAACATCAACATCAATTGTTCCATAAGAAGGGAAACAATGTAAGTACTGCTAGCTTCTAAGATTGGAGTATCTTTGGAAGCTCGTTCATTACATTATGTACAATCGGAATCGTGCAAAAGAAGGAAAGGGATAGCCTCACATACCTTGTATATACTACCCAACCTCAAGCTATGCAAATGTCACGACTCCTTAGTCTACAATAATAGAAATGACACTGTTGTTATCGTTTAAGCGTCGTAAATATTATGTATCGATTGCAACATATTTTACGATGAAACGGACAATACCTTCCCTATTTATATGACTTCCCACAAGTTAAAACAATCACCAAACAGCCCAAACAACATCAATAAAAATCATATTGAGCCTCCCAAAATAGTCCGCCAACCAACAACATTACTAACAAGCCTTTCGATATATATCTCACAAGTTCTAGCTTCAATGACTTAGCCGTAACTTGGGTAATCTTAAATACATGTAGGGTAAGACCATTAAACAGAAAGAACAACTCCAATTTGACCTTAATTGACCACGAAATATTCCTCCAATGCTGCCACAAGAACAACGAAGAGAAACTAGTAATCAATTAGGGTTTTCGGCACTAGAATCACTTTAGAAGACTTGAAATCACCTAGGGTTGATATTGAAAACTTGAGGGAGTATTTTACAGAATATAAACCACTTAAAATAACCTCCCACACGAGCTAGAACAACACAAAAATCAGCAACAACAAGAAGAACAAGAAACTTACTAGTGCCACGGGATTCCCGACACTTTACTTGTATTGTTTGCCCTTTGTTTGGGTCTTAGATTATGAGAGAACCTTGAGAGAGTGTTTTTAGGGTTCTAAGGTCTGAATATACTGAAAAAGAATGACTTAAAAGGCGGTTGAGGCGTCTTATACATATCCATATGTCTCAACCGCCTATGTGGGCCCCATAGAGAGCTGCTTGACGCAGTCTAGCAAAAACGCAAATATCTCTCTACTCCGAGATCGCATCGACGAATGGCTTAATGCGTTAGAAACTAGACTCATAGATATTTGGTGGGTAGATCACCTCGTAATTCCAAGTAAATTGGGATAAAACTTAGTAACATTTGACGTAAAGTTTAAGTAAAATTGTGAACGTAAGTTGCGACAACTTTTGTCGACTATTGTTTCATAACTCGTTTGACTTCAAGACTTATGATACGGATATTATATGATTCAAATACCTTCAAACACGACCTATTGGGAATATTAAGCACCTCTAGTTTTACCCGAAAATACGGGTTACAACATCCTTGATTTGTTCCGAAAATACGGGTTACAACATCCTTGATTTGTTTAACTTCTAATACTTGTTAACCACTCTAATACAACCTTGTATCGTTTAAGACCAATATGATTAACTTCTTATCATCTCAAAGATAATCTCTTCTCGAATTTACGTCGACTAACTTATGGCGTAATCTAACGTACGCGGATATGGGTTGTTTCACTTTTTACGAATTGAAACATTACCTATTGGAAAAAATCTTTTTTTCCCGGGTTTTAAAATTTTGTATATTATTATTAATTTAGATTGGCCAAAAATTAATTAAATGGCATGAAGTCGAAAGTTCTGTAAAGAAGACCACATCATGACTATTCCCCCCTCCCTTTTTTTTTGACTCGGCCTTAGGCTAAAACTGTGCGGAAATAACATTAGGTATTCATTTTTAAGCATGTTATTTATAAATATTCACAATTTACAATATATTTAAAGACTAGCCAATTTCGCTCAAACTTCAGGACTCGGCGTTCTAGAGTTTAAATCTCAAAGTTCAAACTTCAGGACATCATGTCCTAAAGTTTAAAAATTGAATTCAGAAGTTCAAATCTTATGTCCTTAATTTTAATTTAGTAGTTCAAAAATTCAGGACACTAAGTCCTTAATTTCTAAATTAAGGGTACTTTAGTTCTGAAGTTTGGATGAATGACTAATCTTTAAATATATTATAGATTATGAATATATTTTAAATAATGGGCTTAAAAGTGACTATTGCTGTAATTCGCTCTAAATCTGTTCATGGTCCAAACCCACATCTCAATTAACGGGTTAGGCAGAACCGACCTGACCCGACACGGGAAGTAGCTACCCACCGTCTCTCATGACCCTTCTCTGTCTCTCTAGAACATGTAGGCACTTCGGCGCTTCATTCACTTTCTTTCTGCGAGAAGTTTCTGGCTCTCTCTCTCTCATTTGCTCAGCACTTTCTATATTAATACCTTCTCTTTTTCTCCGCTTACTCTGTTCCCCTCTGTCTCTGCTTAAACAGTGAGCTCTTCTAGCTTGTGCGGTAATAGTATTATTATACTCTGCATTTTCTTGAGCTTTCTTCGACTTTAGTAAGTACCCTTTACTTTAAAACTTATCACAAGTGAAGAAAGAATTGTTCTTTCATAATGAATATCTAGTTCTCTTTGTTTGGTTGCTTAATTCGTTACTGTTGGTACGTCTATTGCAAGTTTCAAGTTTTACTTATTTGGGGTTGATAATTCCTATCATATTTATTCCATTTCAATACTCTTAAGTTTAAAGCTTACTGGTATACAAGAAAGCATGTTGCTTTGTGAATGAATATGTGTATCTTCTTTGTTTGATTTCATCATTAATTTAATGTTGGTTTGTCTAATGCAAGCTTCAGTTTTTACTCATTTGGGGTTGTCATACTGTCTTTATTATTCCATTTGTTTGTTATATCCATTAGTTTCAAACTTATCACAAGAAAGAATGATTCTTTCTGTATGAATATGGGTTTTTTTTTTTGTTTGATTATTTCGTTCATCAGTGTTTGTTTGTCCAATGCAAAAATTCAGCTTTGACTCATGTGGGTTTGGTAAAAGTATTTTCGTTATTCCATATCCTTAATCACAAATGAAGTGGTGTTGCTTTTGTTTGGTACTAATTTATTCAGGAATGTTTCTTGAGTTTCTGTTTGTTGATTCAATTTCATTTCCCCCTTTTCTTTTTCCAGAATTTGGAATGAGAACAGTAACATATATTGTAATTGAATACACAAGTGCAGAGAAAAAATCATGTTACATATTTCTTAATTTTTTTTGGTGAGTGTGTGTGTGAGGGACAAGAGAGATGGGCCTTGAACATGATAGATATTACCGATGATTCTTGTACGAAGTATCAAATGGATTACTTTTCAATTTTTTTAATCAGCGGATGTGCATGTATTTTCATTGCAGGTGTTCTTTAGTCTGTGTAGTGTGTTCATGGCTGAACAAGCATACACTGTTGCATCCGACAGTGAAACAACCGGGGAGGAAAAGACTTCACCTGCTTTCCCTGAGATAGCAATTGGAATTGACATTGGTACATCTCAATGCAGTGTAGCAGTTTGGAATGGATCTCAGGTGGAACTGCTCAGAAACACGAGAAACCGGAAATTGATGAGATCATATGTTACCTTCAAAGATGAGGTCCCAGCTGGTGGCGTTAGCGATGAACTGGCTCACGAATATGATATGTTGTCTGGAGCTGCAATCTTCAACATGAAACGTCTCATTGGCAGAGTTGATACAGATCCTGTGGTTCACGCCAGCAAGAACCTCCCCTTTTTGGTTCAAACATTAGATATCGGTGTTAGGCCATTTATTGCTGCCCTAGTGAACAAGATGTGGAGGTCCACTACTCCTGAAGAAGTTCTTGCTATATTTCTAGTTGAACTAAGAGCCATGGCTGAAGTTAAACTGAGACGTCCTGTAAGGAATGTGGTTTTAACAATTCCAGTTTCGTTTAGCCGATTCCAGTTGACCCGAATTGAACGAGCCTGCGCCATGGCAGGGCTACATGTTCTAAGATTGATGCCTGAACCAACTGCAGTTGCTCTATTATATGCTCAGCAGCAACAACAGTCTGCACATGAAAATATGGGTAGCGGGAGTGAGAAGATAGCCCTTATATTCAATATGGGCGCAGGGTATTGTGACGTAGCTATAACAGCTACAGCAGGAGGTGTGTCACAGATCAAGGCCTTGGCGGGCAGCACAGTTGGAGGTGAGGATCTACTTCAAAATCTGATGCATCACCTCTTACCAAGCATGGATCATATATTCTCGAGCCACGGGATCGAAGAAATAAAGAGAATGGGGTTGCTTCGAGTTGCCACCCAGGATGCCATCCATCAACTCTCATCCGAAATGAGTGTCCCGATCGATGTTGACTTGGGAAATGGAACAAAAATATCTAAGTTTCTTGAGAGGGCAGAGTTTGAAGAGGTGAACAAAGAGGTGTTCCAGAAATGTGAGACCTTGATAAAACGCTGCTTGTGTGACGCTAAACTAGAAGCGGAAGATGTACATGATGTCATAATTGTCGGTGGCTGTTCCTACATTCCAAAGGTTCGTAATATTGTGATGAGTATATGCAAAAGAGAAGAGCTTTATTCAGGAATGAACCCGCTGGAGGCAGCTGTACGTGGTGCAGCTCTGGAAGGAGCAGTAGCTTCGGGAATTAGCGATCCATTTGGGAGTTTGGACCTTTTAACCATTCAAGCAACTCCTTTAAGCATTGGCATTCAAGCTGATGGAAGCAACTTTGTACCAATTATTCATCAGAACACCACAACCCCGGTAAGGAAAGAACAGAATTTCACTACCGTCCATGACAATCAAGCCGAAGCATTGATCTTTGTTTATGAAGGTGACGAGAAAACTGTGGAAGATAACCATCTCTTAGGGTATTTTAAGATCACTGGAATACCTCCAGTACCAAAAGGTGTACCGGAGATTAACGTGTGCATGGACATTGATGCTTCTAATGTGCTGAGAGTCTTTGCTGGTGTTATCATTCCGGGGGCGAAATGTCCTCCTCCTTTCATGGAAGTTAGGATGCCTACAGTTGATGATGGACATGCCTGGTCTGCTCAAACTCTGCATAAAACATATGGCTCTACTTTAGATTTGGTCACAGTGAAGAAGAAAGGGCAGCATTGAGATTGCTGACTAGATGATATAGATAGGTAGTTGAAATGCTGTTCTTAGTAGTGAAGAAGGAATTAAGTGTGGTAACTGTTTGTCGTAAATATGTGTCTTGGAGAATAATCTTGGTTGTGCCTTGAGAATAATAATAATAATAGTAACTGTTATCCATGTTGCTTCATTGTGCATGTGCCTTAAAAATCTGGCATGCATGTACTGCTTTGGTTTGTTTGGAATTGGTAGTCATGTCTGCGTTTGAATTTAATTTATATTCTCCTTCGTTACAATTTTCTTTATAATCAGTGTCAGGTAATGAAACCCACGATATAAACAATTTGTACTCGGTGTAGTGTCAATCAAAATAATCTAATCGTGTAAAATTTTACATTTTCACTACGAGTAGATCCTGATGAACTTCTGTTAAGCAGGCCTTTTGTCTATCAAATTTGTGTTGTCTCAGTTTGTCCAATTGACTTAGGAATATGGACAGAGAACTTCTTCTCTGTGAGTGAAGCGCGTTTGTCTTCTGCGCATCCAAACCAGATATCATTTCTTGCACAGAAAGATGTAAGCAGACCAACTGAACTCAAAATGTTGAAGTTTTTCATGTTCTTAATCTCACAAGTTACAGCAAGAAGTTCAAAATGAGTGACAGACAACCTTATTTTTTATAACAGTCGTCAAATTCCAAACCATATCACAAACTTTTCAAGTTCGAGGCTCCACAGAACTTGGTTTTCCCAGATTGTGGAGTCATTTCACATTTTACTGCGCAAAGTTTGATCCTTTCGCAATAATTATAAGATATTAATTGCAGATCCAATCCGCTTCTACAGAAAAGCTCAATCATGCTTTGTTTTCTTTTCCATTTTTCTTAATAAGATATCACAAATCCACACATTTTTCTTAAAAAGAAGAGGAAAACACACATACACACACTCACCAAGAGATAGTATAGTAAAAGCTGAAAAGATCTAGGTCAGTTACCTGAATTCCAGAGCAACCAAGTCAGCAATTAAAAATTCTTTGTTTAGGTAACTCATTAATTTTGGTTTATACAAAGTTATGATATCGGAAAGAACCTCTTTGCCCTTACAGAGGTAGGGGTTTGTTGTTGTTGTACAAAGCTATGATGTTAGACACTAGCATGATGACGAGCTAAAATAACTGGTTAATCTATAATGATGCAGATTTGTTTGCGTATACTTAAAGGAAAGTTGTACTTTATGGACATAATTATTAGTCATAATATTAGATGACAAACAGTAATCAAAGGAAATTGACTCTTTGGAGGAACAAGATTAAAGGTCATAGCATGAAGAGATGAAAAGAAAAAAAAGTATATTCATTAGAAATTAACTCAATCAAGTTCACAAACAAGATCTTAAAAATATACTATCTTTGTTGGGAATACTAGAAGAACACTCCAATTACTCGTTCTTCCAAACATACAAAACCAAAGATAAACCCAAACCAGATGATTTGGAATTGCTCAAACTCTCTGTGTAAGGCCAAGGCATGACAGAGAGATCAGACAAAGTTTGTGTTGTCCACAACTTCTCAGCCGATAAACATGTTTGAAACATGAACACTGCATTCCCAAAATTGCTACTGAACAACCAGTTATGAACATCCCAAAACACTTCAACAGGGAGTCCATCAATTAAAACAGTATAGTTACCGCGAAATTTCCAGCGCAAATGCTTCACTTGCATTACTGTTTTAGAGTCAATACGGACCAAAAGACATGGATCTTCAATGCCATTAGAGTCGCATTCAATTGTAATATCATGAATTGGACCTGTATAACAAAATTGAGCCTTTGTACCAAACACCCTCTTCCCAAATATGTGTTCTCTTTTAGAAATGAACATTGCATTTGAAAAACTAGGAGTTGCATTAGTCTTTTTAAATGCTTCTTTCCTCAGATCTCCAATTACCAAAACCATTTGCCCTTTACAAACTATAGCTATATAATACCCTTCAATAGGCTCTGGCCCAGATCCAAACTTGGCTAGTGAAAAGTCCCAGTGTAGGTCAATTTTACAAGAATTTACTTCTAAAGACCTTGACCCTTTTCTTTTGGAGAAGAGAGAAGGCTTTACATCAACTTTACAAAGACATTGATGAGACATATCATCAATTTCAACACTAAGGCATTGACCCATCAAACTCTTGGTCCAAACAATAGTGATCAGACAAGATTTACCAAGTAGTTTACACTGATAAACACAGGTGACTAAATTCTGTGGGGTTTTAGTCGCACCCCCAACAGCTGAACAAGAAGCATCAGCAACTTGAACCCCATTTTCACCAAAACAAGATGGAAAGTCCCTCATTTCTTTTCCAGCACAATCAAGACAAGAGATAAAACCAAGATTGTTCTTCTTCTTCTTTTTTCACACCCTTAATTATACAACATCACAAAAAATCACCCTTCAAGATTCTATTGTTAAAACAACTGAAATATGAAGGAAAAAGGGTAAGTGAAGCATACCAGAATGAACCAAAACGGAAGTACCTTAAAAGCTCTGAACTTTGTGTTTTATTGTTCAGAGCATTGAAGCAAGGAGGTTTCTAATGGAGTTATTTAAAAGTGGGGTATATGATTTTAAGGAGTTGAAAGGGAAATGGGTGCAGTGTTGTTTATAAAGTACAAGGGAATCCACTGTTTAAGGAAATGACAAGTTATGCTTTAGATTATGTCCAAATTTTGCGGTGGTAAAAAGTGAAAAAGATTAGGATTTGTGGGGGGCAAAAAATGAAACATGCATTGACCTTTATATATCGTTTGTGTTTCTTGAAAAAAGAAAATAAACGCTAAAAAATATGGATATAAAGAGTCAGAGAGATTTATATATAGTATAACAAAAATAGTACTATCAAAATACCGGCTTTAGTTATAGTATGTTAAATTAAATTTTTTCTTGTAAGTTATAGTAGTATGTTAAACTAACATTTCCAACCATGTTTTTATATAATTTGTTATTTTTAATAGAAGATTAAGATAAGCTCGAAGATGGTCAATATAAAATAAAGTAATGTTCAAAAATAAAAAGCCTAGTAGTGTCTAGAGACAATTGTTAAAGAAGGAATGAGTAAGCATGGGATATAATATATAAAAAATGATATTGTCAGGAGTATTTTTTTTTTTTAAAAAAAAAACAATCTCTCCATTTTGGTGATATCACATGCTTTTGACACTTTTTGACAGATAATTTGTTTTAATCTGATCATAAGGGGAGTATGTGATTTCAGCAGTCCATTAGGGTGTTCTCATAAATTGGTCAAGAAAAAATTTGAAGGAGAGAGAGAGAAAGAGAGAGAGAGAAGGGGGTGGACTGACAGTGATATTTGTCATTTTACTGCGTAACCTGTACAGTATACAGGCAAATTTGGCCAAAATCATACGCAGCCCCTTAAACTTGTCCGGTTTTTCCTCTTAGACACCTTATTTAAGATTTGTTCCGATTGAATACTTAAACTACTCAAAATTTGAACCAATTAAACACTTTTTAAATAACCAGCAAAAAACTAAAGAGAGTGTAATACACTTGCCAATGATATGGCTAATTGACGAATTATCTAATGACATTTGGCATTTGGGTCCAAAATAATAATTAATAAAATGAATTATGAGCAAAAAAACAAAAGCTATTTTTAAGAAGAAAAAAATAAGAAAAATAATAACCCCACCCCACGAACCCACCCAGACCATCTCTTCTCTATTCTTTTGCTAAGTCCATAAGATGGCATCTCCAACCACGATGTTTTTTTTTTCTTTTGGTTTATAGATCTAATTCATTATAATTTTAGATCGGATGTTTTAAATTTTTTTATCTAAATAGTTTCTTAAAGAAGAGAGGAAGGGGGGTAGAAAATAGAGTGGCGACAGTAATGAGTCTCCATTTTTTCCGGCGAGCAAGATGGTAGTGATTGTCAGAATTAACGAAAAAGGAGAAGACAGTGGCGGTGGTTTTCAGATCTGAAAAAGATGAAAAAAATGGTGATTGGAGTGGTGGTTGCATCGGTGGTGATGAAGGCAGAGAGTGGTGGCACTGGTTCCAGAAAGGAGGAAGAAGCGGCGTGGTGGTAGCAGTAAGGCAGATCTGAAAATAAAACGACGGTAGTGGTAGAGAAGGTAAGGTGGCTGAAGAAAGAAGAGAGGTGGATTGTGCTGGTGCCGGCGATGGCGCCAATGGTGGTAGATGGTGGAGAAGTTATGGAATAGAAGACTGAAGAAGAAAGAGAATAAAAAAAAAGAGAAAAAAGTTAAAAATAATACATCTCACGCTCTTTGGGCAGGTGTATTACAAACACTATGCCATATCAGCAAAAAGTGTTTAATGGATATCAATTTTAAATAGTATAAATGTTTAATCGGAATAAGTCTTAGCTAAAGTATCTAAGAGGAAAAATCGGACAAATTTAGGGGGCTGTTTATGATTTTAGCCGGCAAATTTCTTTTTCAACATTTCAAACATGAATCTTAAAAAAGCATATTAGGTACAGATAAAAAGAAAAGAAAACAGAAAGACTATCACGTGCTAAGGAAACTGTACATATTGGAATATGGAATATGACCATTTTTGAGGATATGGAGGATTCAATTTTAGTTTACTTCCAAAATCTTCATTTTGTTTTAGAGGTTAAGAAATTACTATTCAAATCGCCATGTGTACTACTTAAATCTCTCATCAGTTGGACCTCTATTACTTTTTGCTAAATACATCTAAAATAGATCTCGTATTTATTAGTAAATTGTATTTGTAAACTAATTCTGGAAAAGATAGAATAATATATAAACATAAAATGTAAACCAAAAAAATGTTAATCTGAGCCCACTGAATTCACAGTGTTTCTTTAAGGAATTTAATCCCCTCCTAGTACCAAGGTTATGGATTATTTTCTCCCAGGATAGAATGAATTACACACTGGTGTAGTGAGCGACTGATCACGCCCAACTATGCCCTCTAAAAAGGACTCTGCGGACGTTGCAAATATAACCCGAGTATTACGCCCAGGGTCGAATCCACAGAGAGTTAACCTATCAATCACTGTCTTTAGACCCACTAAACTCTTCAGAACCAGTTTCCCAGATGTTTGAATCACCGTTGAAGGTTGCTTTACTAACTACCATTGCAAGTAACTTGAACAGCTGAAAATTAAAATGCTAAGGTTGTAAACAATGATGAGAAGAAGCTAAGGCAATGATTTCCCCTATTGAAAAAGTCCCTTCTGTTTATGCTCACACAAATTTACCAACACATCTCTATCAATCATGAACGCTCATCTTACCGTAAATCTCTCCCGAGTAATCACAGTAATATACTAATTGCACTCTCCCGAGATACACTAGCTTATTTTATTTAGCACAATTCACTTTAGATTACACCCAAGGCTTCGTTATCCCTAATCCCGCCTTTAAACCCGCAATTATAGATTCCTCTTATACTTTGGGAGTGGTGTTGTTCAACAATAACCTAAATATGCACTCTTTTCCAAGTTATGCACACTAAATAGGCACAGCTAATTGAGGATCCTGTCAATTAACTACAACAAGCACAAAGTTGAACAAATAGAGATTGAAGCTAGCAATTTGTATTCACATAAACAAGATGTTCATCCCCCAATAGGTTCCATCAAAGCCTTAGACAAAGAGTTTAGCTACTCATGGCTATGGGAAAACAAGCTAAGATAGAATTCATCATAACTAGCAATAAAAATCAAAGAAAAGAAGAAAGATGTTTTGGGTGATCTCTCACAATTGTTCTCCTTGCCAAGATACTCTAAAATTCAATACATGCCTCTCTTGGGCGAAGTCTTGTATTTAAAATAGGGTTTAGGTCTAAAAATCCCGTGTTTTACACTTTAGTCCCTGAAGTTTTCTGCTTCCGCCGCGGTTCTGCCGCGGTCGCGGTCAAACCGCGGCTAAATGCCCTCTCTGAATCTTGTTTTATCCGCAGCTATCTTCCACCGCGGTTCTACCGCGGTCGCGGTGGAACCGCGGGCAAACCAGTTTTCTGAATCTTCAGGCCTGTTTTGCGTGGTTTACTTGGGGAATTTCACAGTTGGCCTCTTTTTCTTCATTATTGACTCCAAAAATACTCCCTAGCCTTCCCTGATCATATATCACCTGCAAATCATGAAAAACACTACTAAGAGCATTTTGTTATCACTTTTATCATCAAAACTGTACAAAAAGGTGATTATTTAAAGCGTGATTATAGTTAAATTCACCTATTATCAACACCCCACACTTAAACCTTTGCTCGTCCTCGAGCAAGTTAAACCACACTTTTAGGCCTACCTGTTTGATACATTACCCCAATTTATGCCACACTCGCCATTACGAAGGACCAACCTAAGCAATGCAACAATCATACCTCAGATGCAGACTCTCATGCCATGACACACTCGTGCTCACTCTAATTACTCTAACAGAAGTGAAGATTTACTTTTTCTTCCTGAGTCACATGCCCTCACATCACAAGTCTAAGAGAAGTTCCCCACACATAAAATTCAGACAATAAGGAACCAAGGATAGAAAGAATTCACTCACTCTCAGCAAAGAGCATTCATATGCTACACAGACACACCATAAGCTTGCCCCTAGTGTACTACTCTACTAATCGAGCTGTTCAGTCAAAGATCAAGAGGTCTTCATTTGGTTGTAATGTAGGCTAAGGGACGGGTAGGATATATTTNCTTCCAGTGCCAACACTCATTCCGCCAATCCTCACCATTCACCTCATCCAAATTTGTCAAGCATGCAGCAAGAGGATCCTCGACCGTCAACGCCTCATCATCAGACTCTACAATTACATCCACTGCATCAATAGGAGAACAATTTGCGAACTCACTTGGTCGCCTCATAGATTTCTGCACATTGAATATAATTTCTTCATCATTGAGCCTCATCTTGAGCTCCCCAGTCTCGCAATCAATCAAAGCTCTCCCCGTGGCCAAGAATGGTCGTCCTAAGATTATAGGAATTTCTTCATCCACTTTGCAATCCAAGATTACAAAATCTGCAGGGAACACGAATTTCCCTACCTGAATAAGCACATCATCAAGGATCCCAAATGGACGCTTCACAGTCCTGTCGGCCAGCTGCAACAACATAGAGGTAGGTCTAGCTCTCCCAATGCCTAGCTTCTTATAAATAACCAGGGGCATAAGATTAATGCTGGCCCCTAAATCACAGAGTGCCTTAGCAAAGGCAAAGTTCCCAATAGTGCATGGAATTGTAAAGCTACCTGGATCAGATAGCTTTTCAGCAACAGGTCTAGATACCACTGCACTACAGGTCTGAGTAAGTGTCACTGTGGACAAGTCTTGAAAGTCAAACTTCCGAGATATCAAGTCTTTCATCATTTTAGCGTATCCCGGCATCTCCTTTAAAGCTTCAATCAATGGAATGTTTACCTGGATTTGTTTGAGCATCTCCAAGAACTTTTTATACTGCTCCTCCTTTTGATGCTTGGCCAACCTTTGTGGAAATGGTGCAGGAGGTCTTTTCTTCCCAATCACTTGAGATTTCTCTTTCTCAGCTACTGTTTCAACTACTGGCCCAGCTACTGTCTCAGTCTCTTGCTGCATATTCTTTTCTTCAGGTGCGGGCTGGACTGTTACCTCTGTCAATCCCGTAGACTCATCCAGCTCAATGGGCACTGGAATGAGTGTCTCAGCCTGTATGTTTTCTCGAGCTCTCTCTTGCTCAACATCTAGATCCCTGCCA